TAACAACTGTCCAGGGACTACAGATGAAAAATAGCCTTTTGGCTAATTCTGGCTTATTTACATGCATAATGTATTTTAATATGCACTGTCCCTTTAATAAAAAAAAAAAAAAAAAAAAAGTTATATTAAAATAAAACAATATCATGTGCGTATGTATTATGATAACATGGAAAAATAAAGGAATTAAACGTTCAATAATCAAGTTTAAGATATGCTGCATTTTAAATCCCTGTGATCAGTCCTGCTTTTACATTTGCAGCACAGTAATCTTTTTATTGGGTTTGAGAGCCTCGTTACACCGTGCAATATCGGCTGTCACCGCAAAACAATGGGACCTCTCATTAGGGAGCTCCATGAGGGCTGTATGTTGCTCTGTGAGGCAGGATCATCGACAATTAGACGTGTGATGTATGGTGCAACCCGCTGTAAATCTGTCACTTCTCACTCGTCTAAGACCGTGTTGGTCTGGTTCACTCTAACTCAGTGGTGTCCAAAATTTTAGAAAGACGGTCACTGAAGTTCACCAGACTTGTGTAGGGACCGACCACATGGACTTTAAAACAGGAATCGGCGCAACTCAAAGTGCTCAACACATTTCTTGAATCACACAAGACATTAATATCATAAATAATCACAGTGCATTGATACTATCCTTTAGTTGGATGCACAGCTAGACTGAACTGTTTTTAACCTGGTTATGATTATTGTCAGAGGAGAAGTCTGTCTAACATCTTCGGGAAGAAAGTTAGAGGGTTTTAGATGCATGAATCTGAAATGCTGCCTCCCTATGTTTAGTCCTGACTCTAGGAACTAGCAGGAGGCCTGTCCCTGTGCTCCTCAGAGTCCGAATTGGTTCATATGGCACTAACATGTCACAGATGTATTTTGGTGCGAGGCCATGGAGAGACTTGTACAGAGGCAGAGCTGCTTTAAAGTAAATTCTCTGAGCCACAGGAAGCCTCTTGGGGGCAAATAGGCCTTATTTGTAGTTATAAATCCACCAAAACCAAGTGAACGTCTGCCCATTAGTAGTGAAGGTCAGTTACTTTTCAAATTGTAAATATAGAGAGACGTTTTTTCTAACTCAAGTGCCAGATAGACCCGCAATTCATTCAAATCCTTGAAAGACAGCTGAGGCCCCTTTCCATTTGCTCTAACCCTCACGGGGAATTTACACAGTAGGCGTAAACAGCGCGTACGCGTTTACTGCGCGCTCTCTGTGCGTAACATTTTTTTGGAGTATCTACACAGGCCGTGCGCGCAGGTCCGCGGCTTCTGATGCTCTCCCTGTGTAGTCTATGGAGCAGTGTAGAGGACAGTACGGGCCAGAGGACTGATGTAGAGCAACACAAATCACATGCATGTGTTTGTCTTCATGGTCTCTGTGCGCTGGTTTGGCCAGACGCGAGACTTTATGAAAGAAAAAAAAAACGATGTCCAGAATCACTGTAAAACCTGCTGCTCCTCCTGCTGATGTTTAGACACAAGTGCTGTGTGTGTATAGATGCAATCTAGAGCCACGGACCGCTAGAAAAATAATGTTAACTTTTACATGAGATTTCAATGGGAGACGCGTTGGTGCTAAATTAGAGCGCAGCTTCGCGTTATACGTCCGTCATACGCGCGTATAACGCTAGAAGTGTAAATATCATCATAGGTTAACATGGAAAAAAGTTACGCGCGTCTGCTGCGCGTATAACGCGTACGTGCTGTAACGCGTGATGTGTAAATTAGCAGTCAGAAAATCTTACCGGTAGTGGTTAATCCAAGGGGAAGTACTGCTTAAATGAGGGATATACAGATAGGTATTTAGGTTAAAATATTCATTAGGAAAAATGCTTTATATAGATGACACTACAACGTCATATGATCAAAAGTATGTATTCTTTTTAAAATTAGATAAAGCTGAAGTTGCAGATTTTTTGAAACATCTCTGTGAAACATTTTTTTCCCTAGTGAACCAGACCAAGAAGTATGAAGCCACAGAAATTGTTTGTTTGACTGTGATTCATTTCCTCCAGAAGCCGACCCATATGGTTTTTTTTGACCAATAAAAATAGTAGTTGAGATAACCGAGATACTGTATGGAGCCAATATTCATCCAATTGTGTAGATGCCTGAACTTAAGCATATTGTTTAACAAATCAAATGAATAGAATAACAAACAAATAACAATAGACTGGATGTGATGTACCAGCAGAATAGGAGAGACTGAAAGCTTTGGTGAATAGATCGCTCAGGTCAGAGATACTTACTTTTAGTCAATGTAATTTTATTCAAATTAAGGGGGATAATATTGAAGTTCATTTTGACCTTGAATTTAACCAAAATAAACTACATTTATCAGACAGTGATTATAAATGCACGTATATACAGTAAGTATGACTGTAACAATATGCAAATTTGACTTAAAATTTGAATAGTTGATAAAAAATACAAAATAAATACAAAAAACAAAACTCGCAGCATTGGCCAAACAACTGCTCTGATAATCGACCTGGCCAAAAATCTGCCAACCCCTAGTTTTCTGTGGCCAATTCCAGTTTTTGTTTTGTTTTTTTTTGTCAAAGATTGGCTGATGATCAATTTAAACGTTGTAAAACTTAATTGGGACGTGCTAACAAGTTTTATTGAATCTATATCACAATGCCCTTCTTTGAGTTATGTTATAAAACGGGTTCAATCAAAGTAGTATAGTGGATGATATATTTGTCCATGAAAAGCCTCTGCAGTCCACCTCAACACATGTCATTTCAATATTACAGAACTGTTATACTTAATTGGGTGCTGCCGTTGTTAACTTGTTTGGGCACGGCGGTGGTTTTGTACTCATTACAAACCGGCTCAGAGCAACTAAAAACCACTCTCTGGTGCATCTTACACTCGCGTCTCAAAAAGGGCACACGTTATCGACGCGTTTAACTCATTTACACTTATATATCTTGAGGAATGCATGTGTTGAAGCTTGGGTCAGAAATGTGAATTGAAGTAAGTAAGTAAGTAAGTAAGTAAGCTTTATTTATATACCGCCTTTCACAGACCAGAGTCACAAAGCGGTTTACAATTGTTATTTTTTTGGGCATTTGTCTCTCACTCCACACAGAGATGGGAGCGGGGTCGCCGAACAGGAGGCGCATGCCAGACCTATTGTACATATTTTTAGTGGTAGGGGAAACCGGAGTACCCGGAGGAAACCTACGCAGGCACGGGGAGAACATGCAAACTCCACTCAGAAAGGCCCTGGTCCGGCCGGGATTCGAACCCAGGACCTTCTTGCTGAGAGGCGAGAGTGCTATCCACTCAGCCACCGTGCCGCAGCAATTGAATATAAATAAAGAACGCTCACTGAATTGCTAAAGTGGCAGAAAATGAATAGATGGCTGATTGAAGAAGATATTTTTTACAGCATCGAACCCTGACAAATAAACACGTCTGGGAAAGTCATCAGCAGAACAGCAGTTTTCACATGGTTCTCATCAAACTCTACCCACTCACTCTGTTTTCTTACTCTGGAATAGACATACACTTGTTTCTCCATGGTTCCTTTTCATCCGTGCTTCTGAATGGGGGAAAATATGATGTCACTGGTAGTTTCTCCTAAATGGATTTCACATTATGCTTCATCACACACAATGAGAATTTATCTGAAGGAATAAATGTATACGTCTGGAATGGGAATGGGATGGTATGACATTTCCACGGGGTTGTGCGTTTCATGTTTTAACAATAAATATGCTTGCGTCGCTCTTTAGTGCGTTTATGAACTGTGCATGTACAGTAGTGTGCATACAAGGAAAACACAGAGGGATTCTCACACTGAATAGATATATATATAGTATGAGGACAGATTGAAAGACCTTGGACTATCCCATTGTACTTAACTTAATAGACATGAAAAAAAAGATTACAGTATCAGTATAGTTTTCCTCAATTAAATTGATGAATACCAGTTATTGTGTAAATACCTCAGGTCTGCTGCTAAGTACAGCGTGTACTTCACAAGTGAAATTATAGCTCCAGAGTTGTATTTAATTATTTAATTTAATGATCTATTATCTTATAGAATAAATCCTGTTTGATGCGTCCATAACCTGAGTGCGCTTATTACCTTATTACCCTTTTATTCGGCTGTAATGTTCGCAACGATGACATTGAAATGTTCCCTCCGAGGGACAAATAAAGGGTTTTCTTATCTTATCTATAAAACCCAATACAACACAAATGTACCGATCAAAAAATGAGAAGAACAGTTTTGAAAAATGGTTTGGATGAAGTTAACACTGAGATTATTCCGGACCGTCCATCCATCCCTCGGCCATCTATTATCTTTCTCTTTATCCATTGCCAGGTAGCAAGGGCAGCAGTCCAAGTAGAGATGCTCAGACTCACCTGTCCACGCACACTGCTTCCAAAATTCCAAAAATTCTAAACCTCTCTCACCCATACAACACTCTATGCGTTGACGATCTGGAGCAAAAATGTCAAAAAGAATACGTTAGTAGTAAGCAATACAGTAGAACAGTAAAACACAATATATATATTTTTTTCTTTTATTATTCTTAGCTATGGAACCTGTGCTTGCATGTGAGTCCTTAATAAAGTCTAATTAAATAAAAAAAAAAAATAACATGGTACTATACAAGACACTGTGAAAAAGGATAAAACCTATGTTGTCTTTTGTTTACAGACCACAAACACACATTCAGAAAAGACAGCCCCAAACACTCTCTGACCCAACACCTCTCTCCTACTACTCGATCTGTGCTGAAACACCTCCAGTTTTTTCAGTACAATACGGTTTTCTTTTTTTTGTAGTCTGTTTTATACAGCTCTAGAATCCCTCGAATGATGCATTACCTTTTAAATATCACAATATACCAGTTATTGTTCTATCGTTGACCTAAAACAAGAGTAACTAAAACATACAATGGATTCTAATGCTTTACAAGACACAGTAAGTTATTCCTAACAAAAATACACATGTTCTCGTTGCCTTCCAGAGTCATAATGTCCAGTGAGGTGCAGCCCAGGCCGGACGACAGCCCCAACACCAGCGGGGGCAGCTCGGACGCGGAGCAGAGAGAAGCGGCCCCACAGGAGCAGCCGGGCCAGGAGCAGAGAGACCAGGCTCCACCCAAGAAGAAGGAGGCCAAGATCTCCAGCAAGACAGCCGCCAAGCTCTCCACCAGCGCTAAGAGGTACATCCTGTTCTGAGCGCATATGTAAAGAGGGAATTAAAGCTATTTCCCCCCGCCTACATAATCCATTTTGTTTTTCCCAACAGAAATAGTCTTGTAAAAGTAAAATGTCAGACCTTGTAAGAAAGAGCTCTATGAGTCTCTATTGTGACAGGGGCGAAAAAATTGTATTTGAACCTATTTATTTAGAGCGAAGAATTGGTTGCATTCTGTTTCATTTCTATGGTTTGAAAGATACTGTAGCTACCCCTGCTTTAGGATACTTCGTGCATCGGCGTCTTTGTTCTCAGATCCTTTCTTGCTATCAATCTCCAAGTTTATTTTTTTGAATCAATGAGATTGTACTGAGCATTCTTGGTATGAATGTAAAAGGATTGTGATCAGTACACACAATGGTGAGCATAAGACCAGGACTAAGATATTTCAAAGTGATGCAATAACAATAAAGCAAGAGTTTCTTTCTCAATAGTGGAGTTTCTTAACTGATGTTCATCAAAATCACATGACAAATATCTCACAGGGCGAGCGATCATTGAACGTATCGCTGACACAAAAGATGTTTAGTGGAATTTGGTTTTGTGCAGCTTTTGATTAGTGTGTCTAAAACTAGGATGGAGTAAACAATAACAATACATTGCCGTTTTTGTTTTTAAGTGCAAATTACAGTGCAGAAATGATTTAAATGATTTCAAGTGTTTGTATTCTATGCTCCCAATGTTGGTGAATTGTGAATTCTCCTCCGTGTAGCGCTCGAAGCAGATGTAGCATTTTTTGACCCGCTGCCATTCTTTTTTACGTTTGTTCTCAGCTTCTGCGCATGTCTAAATGTACGTGCGGGAAGTGGTGAGGTCATTGCAGCCAGATGATTCACACCTTTTTCTTCTCGCGGCTGTGAAGCACGCCCCTGCCGCGCAGCGTATCTGTTCAGGTTATAGGACAGTAGGAAAGAGGAGCACATAAGAAATGCTTGTGTTGAGTTGGGAAGGGAAGGGACCACGGTACACAAGTTACAAACATTTTCTTCTGACTTTAAACAAAGGTAATTGTCATGTTATACTAGCGGTTATATGATTATAAAGAGGCACCCCTGTATATCACTATTGGGGCTGATAATCACATATTGGCACAAATATAATGACACCTTCTAATTTATATGACCTCCTCCAGCCCCACTTTCCTATTCTCTCCTTTTCTCTGATAGGACCACATCGGTGGAAGTTTACCGTTGCACATTAGAACTGCACAATCACTGGAGCACTTTAAATCCTTGTTTGACGCACTTTTTCTCTGGCTTTTAATACCAGGTAGACAAGTTTTCATTTTTTTATGTGTATACTGTACATGTATTTATTAATATGTCTTTTATTGTTGATGTTTTTTCCACTTTTCAACTTTGGTAAGCCTAGAGTGTTTTAAATGGGCTCTACAAATAAGGATTGATTGATTGATTGATTGAAATGGAGAAAAATATGTATTTAGCATACACAGGGATTCGCTACCATCATTTCTATCACTTGTTTGTCCAACGTCGACACAAATTCTTTTGAAGCAACCGACTTGTAATCGCATGTATGCATTTGGAAGCCTCGACATCACAGCGCTCTTTCTGCTTGTTTTCACCCTCCCGCGGCGCAGCTCCCAGATCTGAGCTGATGCTGCAAATCGATGTGCGCTGAGGAGTGAAGATATCCCAGAGCCGGTGAGCAGGACAACTAAAGCTGTGCCAGGCCTGCGCGCCGCGAGAGCACTCTGCCGCTCGTACACACACACGCACACGCACACACACACGCACACACACACACACACGCATAATGCCGCTGCGGCTCAAAGACTCGTTAGGTTTTGGGAAAATACAGTCAACTCGTGCACTGGACTAAAAATCAGGGAGCCGGGAGTTGTGTCAAGATTAAATAGAGAAACTGAAGCATAAACACGTAAATACTGTATGAAGAGGGGCTGAAAAGATACAAGAATCAATGTTCTTGTATTGTAACTATATGCACAAATCCATCTTTTTTTCATTCACAATATCATTGGCTTGAATATAAGTAAGTAATGAAGTAATCTTTATTTATATACCGCCTTTTCACTGCACATTGGAGTCTCAAAGCGGTTTACAATTGTTATTTTTGGGAGTGGGGGTGCCAGTACAGGAGGCACATGCCAGACCTATTGTACATATTTTTAGTGGTAGGGGAAACCGGAGCACCCGGAGGAAACCTACGCAGACACGGGGGGGGGGACATGCAAACTCCATTTAGAAAGGCCCTGGTCCAACCAGGATTCGAACCCAGGACCTCCTTGCTCAGAGGTGAGAGTGCTATCCACTCAGCCACCGTGCCACCCAGCTAATACCCCATTATGAACCAATTCCAGAGAAGGGACTACAGATTATCTCCCCTTAAATCTCAGCTAACTTAATACAAATCTGTCCAATTGTGTTAATATTGGTAAATAATGACAGAACTAGAATCTGAGTACGGCTTGTAAACACGCCTATTACATCAAAATAAAGGCTGACTCAAGATAACCATTGAACCGATATCATAAAACTGGGCTGCGAGCCACATCTGACCTCATACCATCAAGCCAATCACTACTGAATATGTTTTGCCGCTATTTAAATGAATGACCATTGAAAGTCAATACTCAATGAAGGCTGGAAATGTGTTACCATGGTATTTTAAAACTCAATACAACCACATTACCCCTAAAGCGTAATTAATCAAAAGCATTCATCAGTCTACAATACCCAGCCTTTTTGCTTTGATCTAGTTCGGTTCAATCCACAAATGTGTTACTAATTTTGCTTGTAAAGAAAGCTAAACATCTCCATATTGTAAATGAGTCAATCAAAAAATAAATAAATAGACATACATGCTGAAGTTGAGATATAAACGTACTTACAAAGAAAACACATTTATGTTTCCCTCTCGTTTGTGTTCATTAAGTACATTTGTTTTTACTTTTTATAACTGAAGTTGCATTCACTCTGTTAAAATAATATGGCAAATATGATTTCCAAATGTATTGTGCCTGATTAAATTAAATGGTAACCGCTTGAAAACCACACATATCTCCATGTGCCTTGCCCCCCCGGAGATAACAATTGCCCACCCCTTTTATGGGCGAAATCAATTCTTCTGCTCCCTGCCGGTCACACAATGGCTCTTTTTAAAGGTCATACATCTTTATATGTTTTATATAATGGTTTGAGGATTCTATTTATCTGCAAGGTCGTTTCTCGGGGGGCACTAGAACAAGTAACAATCAGCTGCGAGGACATTTTTCAAGGTTTCTTAATTATTATTTGAGGTGCCCGTTAAAGCTAGGATTAGGTGATCTGCTGATTTATTCTTACTGTAGCTATACAGTGGTCCCTCATTTATCACATTGTTCTAAAAATAGCGAGCAATAAAGTGAAATCAGCAAAGTAGCTGCTGTATGTTTTGAAGCTGTAAAACTTCTCAGACACTTTTCTGACCACCTGAACTCACTACTGCTGAAATGCGATCGCGTAGACCTGTTGGTTGTAGGTCTGAGCACTGCTGCAGCTGTCAAAAGCCGGGCATACACTGTAAAATACAGATGCAGAAGACACCGCACTGAAGGGCAGTAGCAGGCCCGAGGGCTACAAAGGTTTTCTTCTGACTCTAAATAAAGCAACTACCACGTTATACTAGGGGTTATGTTGTATACATGCAGCGCTTAAATACCACACTGTAAAAACCACACAAAAAAGCACAAATCCACAAATACGCGAGGCCGCAAAAGGCAACCGCGTTATTGTGAGGGTCCACTGTATATCTGTGCACAGGCACAAGCAAAAATTCTTTAGACTTAGATAATCCTTTATGCACAAGTAAAAGTATATTAGAAGTGGACTGACCTTTATGTGTTTGCCTTTATTCGCAAGAGGCTGGTTAGAGATAGCTTGAACAGGCTATTTGAGTGGGAATGTCGAGGCAAATGAATACAAATGTTGTTGATTGTAACGTCTGAGTTAGCAAGATGCCATGACGGAGCGGGGCTTTTCTGTCCCCACTTGCGCTACTTGCTAGTAAAGCCGCATTTAGTGACAGAAGGCTTCTTATTAGTCAGTTGTTATGGCTTACATATGGATTTACAAAGACAAAATCACAATACTAACTCTAGGATTGTAGAGCGCTCAAAACCATGGAATTTAAAGCTCAAAATGTAAGTAAGTAAGTAAGTTTTTATTTATATACCGCCATTTCACTGCAGATCTGAGTCTCAAAGCGGTTTACAATTGTTAATTATGGGCATTTGTCTCTCACTCCACACAGAGATGGGAGCGGGGCCAGTACAGGAGGCACATGCCTGGACATATTTTTAGTGGTAGGGGAAACCGGAGTACCCGGAGGAAACCTACGCAGACACGGGGAGAACATGCAAACTCCACTCAGAAAGGCCCTGGTCCGACCGGGATTCGAACCCAGGACCTTCTTGCTGAGAGGCGAGAGTGCTATCCACTCAGCCACCATGCCGCCAAAATGGTGAGTGTGACACAAACTGTTAGTGAGTGGTGAGATAGAAGAGTTTACTTTTCAATGCAAGACGTCAATAGGTGCCGGAGTGAGAAGGAGCAAAACCATCTGTTGGGCTTCAGTGAGCTAGCAGGTTAGCATTGTCCATACATATACAGTCTGTCTGAAACCTATAATCATGTGAGGGTTAGACTGACTGGCAGAGGACAATGAATATTTTGTTGCCTGGGTTCTCAGTTGTGGACGCTCATAGCTTGTTGCTGAAATTGTAAAAAAATAGAGATTTATTCGCAGAGCTGTGATTGATTCAGGCAGCTGACAGAAGGGAGAGAGGCTTTGGCAGTAATAAATGGACAGCATGCACACTCCCCTGCATACCGTTCTCCTAAAAACACAGTAACAGCCATCACAACTGTTTCTTTATCTTTTCATCTTGAAGTCCCAGTCAAGTGCTTTAGTGGTTCCTGATTTCTATGACTCCTGGGCTGCAAC